AATAATAATAAATTTCCTAGTTTTTAACAGTGAATCTCAGGAAAGTCTTTGGTCCCATGTAGGATACTGGTTTATGAGCATAGTGAATGTCAGCTGTTTCCTTCTGTCTGAATTCTTGAACTTAAATCTCTGTTCTTGTTTCAGCTCGTACTGAGCGGTATCAGCATTTGGATTCTGAGGAAGAGGAAGATACAAATGATGATGATCACGTGGAAATTAAACAGTTTTCCTCATGTTCACCAAGGTTTAGTAAGGTGTGTAAAATGCTGATTTAAATGTGATTTAAATTTATTTGTGGTCCAAAGAGACTAAAGTACAGTGATTAGTAACCTTCATGGAACCTAGGCGTTTTAGTAGGCAATTACAAACCTGTAGAACAACCGATAGAACTGAAGTGACCTCAAGAGTAAATTACCTGCTATGGCATTTTGCCACTGCTGATACTTCATCATTGTTGCATACACAGAGCTGCACAACAGGATTTCAACCAGTTTGTTAGAGATTATGCATGTATGTTTTCATCATTATCTATAGACACATACAAGGTTTTTGAAATTAGTTATTTAGAAAAATCCTAGAGGAGGTTATATGTAAATATTGAAAGATCCCCAGTAAGATTGTCAAGAAGTCATGAATATTGTTGACATAATGTATGGGTGGGTTGCTGGTATCTTACTATGTCCTGCCCAGTGAGCAGAATAAGCAGTTTCTTGCCCAAATGCAACAAAGCTGCCTTAGCACATATTAAATAAATGATAGGCTTTTCTATCCTAAGAAAGTAGAGATGCCTCTGTACATTCAAGAATTTAATGTTCAGAGTCTTAAATTACTGGTCAGTCTTGCTCTGTTTTTGCACCTACAGTGCTACAGCTCAAGGGTTACATTGGTAGCTTTTGGGTTAGTTAGCTGATTATCACTATTAGCCACTATGAGCAGTGTTTGATAGAAAAGAAAGGTATAGTGAAGACGGAAGATTTTTGTTTAATTAAAATGTAGTTAGTGCTATTTTCCTTACATATCTTGATCCATACTTTGACAATTCAAAACTATTTGATATTCTCCCTCCATGTTTTGACCAGTAATAAATGTATTATAGGATTACTAATTCTTGGTTTTGCATTTTGTACTTGTTCATTCTGTAAACCAAAATATGTTAGAATACAGTAAATTCATAACTTTCTTTGTGGTTGTGCCTGATGCACTCACAATTTTTATAAGTGTTTCAGTACCTCAAGACAGTTCTTTCCAGTTTAAATCATAAGGAAAAAATTAGATCATTCCTAATTTTTGTAAATTCACGAAGTGTTTACTTTATTTTCCCATTGACTATTAATCATGATCTAGCTTTGTATCTCATTCAAGCATACAATACTAAGTTTTCAGTTTCCCTTATTAAATGTCTTTTTCCTTTCATTTTCACCTAGCACTGATCTTTGAATGTATTTAGTATTCACACCTCATGGATCAGTTTTATTTAATATGAAAGAGAGCTTGATAATAAAAAGCGCAGCAAGCAAGGAGTAGAATTTGCATTGAGCCCTATGGTGCAGTGGTTAAACTGCAGTACTGCAGTCAAACCTCTGTTCATGACCTGAGTACAATCCCAACGGGTTCAGGTGGCTGGCTCAAGGTCAATGCAGCCTTCCATCCTTCTGAGGTTGGTAAAATGAATATCCCGTTCTCTGGAGGGCAAGTCAGTTTTTTTTTTCATAATTATGTTGTAAATTGCCCAGAGAGTGCTCTAGCATTGTAGGATGGTATATAAGTCAAAACGGAAGCAGCAGTTTGTTTCACTGTTTGTGTCAATATTTGTGTCACATATAGTTTGAAACATAGGGGACATTATGAAAAGCATAATACCTCTTTGATGAAGAATAAACTGACATAGAAAGTAGTCTGGAAGTGAGCAATGGGGCATGGAATAAGATGCAAATTGGAAAATATCTTGCAGAATTTTGGGGCAGGAAGTTTGGTGTAAAAATGGAGTGGTACAGACATGTTCGTATCTTGAACACTGAAAAATAGTACAGCATTCATAGTGTTGGCAGCATGAAAGGCTCATTATATTTTGAAAGTCTTCTCTGATGATTCAGCCAGATAATTTATTAACAGCTTTCCTGTTGATGTTGTGAATTTTTAATAGTGTTCTTTTCATTAGTCTCATATGCAAATCAGCTTTTCAGTTGAATTTGGTCTACTTTTGTTAACCGTTCAGTGATTTCAAATGTCATTGTAAAAGTAGTTCAGGTATGATTGACTAAATATATTAGCTCATGGGGGCAGGATATTTTTTTAAAACTGGGTTAAGTTCCTGTTACAGGATTTTTTGAAATAGTTTATCTCAGGCTTTGAAAATATTGCCACCCTGGTCCTAATCTAGCATTGAATTTGTTAAACACAGTTTTGCAAAATTTGTCCTACAAATTAAAAAAAAAACCTTTACAGCAATACTAGTGCAGCAAAATGCACGGCCATAGTCTGGACAACAGCTGAACAGTGAGTAGTAGAGATACTAGACTGCTATTCCTTTGTTTTCCCCCCAGCCCTGAGCAAACTGGGGGATGGGGCAGACAGAAAATCAAAGATGATTATGAAGTCCAACTTTTCATTTGAACTTTGCAATTCTGATCTACCATATTATTTTATTAAAACACTATAGCAATGATATTTCACTTGTTAGTATGCATTTTATATGATTATACCCATAGGTATACAGCAGTATGGAACGTCTTTCTATCCATGAAGAGAGAAAAACACCACCACCCACCAAGCGTAGCCTGAGTGAGGAAAAGGATGATAGACTAGATAGTCTAGGTGGCTTGAAGAATCGAGACCGCAGCTGGGTGATTGGGTCTCCTGAAATGTAAGCTTAACATACTAAATTAAAGTGAAGCTGTAGTTCTATGAATTGGGGAAGGAAACCTATGGCCCTCCTGATGTCTTTGGACTTCATCTTGAATCTCCACCCAAGCTAACATAGCTAATGGTTAGTGGTTAGAGATGGGCATGAATTAAAAAACAAATTACCAAAATTAATCAAAAAGCACTAATTTGTTGATTTGTATTCTTTTTTAAAAAATATTTTATTTTTAACAAAGGGTAACAGGAAGGAAAAAGGGATTGGGGTTAAAGGGAAGAGGAGAAACAATGACATACTAATATCCATTCTATACATATTGTCATATCAACATTCCAAATTACTCTTTTTGCTATTTTCTGCCTTCCAGATTTAAGTTCTCGTTCTAATGTTGATTCGTATTCATCCCGATCAATGCCCCTGATGAATACAAATCAGTAAATTTTAGCAATTTTTGGTATGTCAATTTATTGGGCTATAAAACTTTCCATTAGGCAGAGAAGCTTCCCCTACCTCTTCTCAAAAACACCTCTAAAGTTTGGTAAAGGTTTGGTTTCAGATGTCGAAGTTATACACCCACAAAGAGGGCCCCCCAGGAAAGTTTCTCCCCAGAAACTAGAGACACCAAAATCACAAAGAAGCTTCCCCTGACTCTCCTGTTCAGTCCCTCCAAGTTTGGTGAACATTAGATTTCTGTTAAAGGGCACTTTCCTGGGGGGGACCCACTTTGTGGGTGTATAATTTGGAGGTCTGAATCCCAAGCTTTACCAAACTTGGAGGGATTATAGAGGAGAATCAGGGAAAGCTTCCCTGTGATTTTGGTGTCTCTAGGTGCTTGAGGGGCTGCATTATAGTGTTTTACAGGCAAAAATGAAATGATGAATTGATTCGTTGATTTGTCAGAAAAATTATGAATTCATTATTTGTGATTTGTTGACCTTGACAAATCACAAATCAAAATGAATTGCCATTTTTCCAATTCGTGCCCATCTCTAATAGTGGTTGTAGAAGTTCTAGTCGAGTAACATTTGGAGGCTTATAGGTTCATTATAAGCAGTGCTGCAGTTTTTCAGTATGAATGATTGCAGCTAAAAGTTTTTATTTCTGAAATGAAATGTAAATTTTACGTAGCTTTTGTTTGGTATGCTTGAACACACGAAAAAGAGAAATCACAGCTATTTATGATGTTGAGAGGTCAAAGATATATCAGGTTAAAAGATTTGTTGGATTGTTTTTAACATCTTTATGGAACTGTGTAATCAATCTGAGAGAAAAATCAATTATAATTGTTGTAGCTTTCCAGTCTTTTAAGTCTAGCCAGTCTCAGTTCTGTTCTGACTGAAACATCATATTTGCTCAAAATGAAACTTAAAATTATCTTGTGCCATTGCAAGCACAGCTAGCATTAAGAAAAATAAGGTCTATTCTGGAGTAGGCTTTGTCTTCCTTCTTTCATTTACTCCAGACTGTCCACTTTTGATATCCTCTTTGTTATGCTTCTGCATCATTACCAGTCATTAGATTTTAAAAGTCACTAATGTCATTGCAAAATAAACTGAGCAAGATGTGTTCTGTTTTCTCATCAGACTGCGTAAACATATCTCAGTGTCTGAATCCTCTCATACAGAGAGTGACTCCAGCCCACCACTGACTGTCCGTCGGCGTTGTTCTGGACTTCTCGATATGTCTCGATTTGCTGTTTCAGCTGAGGAAGAAGGGAAGAAGAAAGCACTGGATGGAGCATCACTGGCTGTGACGCAGCCACGAGAAGGTCTTCCTTTTCCAATTCCAGAACAGCCTGTAGAACGGGAACTCCAACTAGATGATGAGAATGGGCCCAAAACACCTTCTTCAACTGTCAGTAGCGTTAGCAGCTCAACACTGTCAGGTAGATACCCTTGGGGATAAAATTATGATCTCTAAAGTACTCTGTACTTGATTTAATTTGCCACTGTACTGCTCCCTATGTGGATCTTGCCTCTCCACCCACTGGATGGTCCTCTCCTTGGGACATCCATATGTGAGATAATGTTTGAATAACTTATACTGTATGTATACAGTAATATGTAACTCAGATTGATATAAAGTGTGCAATCTGGTGCAATTTGAAACATCACACTAGCTTTTGTGTGCATGTACATTCACAAACTAACCCACTATCCAGAGATGGGACAGATGCACTTGGGCAGATGAGACAGTTCTGATATTGCTTCCTTGTCACATTTAGTGACGATTATTTGAATGAGTCCATTGTAATACACAGGGTTGCACAATTCCACAAAAGAACCCTGGGTTTCATGTTGCAACCATTAAAAACCTGGTTCATCTTCATGTTGCATCCATGTTAAAAATATTATAATTTCCAATGTTGATTTGTATTGCAGAATATCATATGAAGAAGATATAGCTAACTTACGGTTTTTGATAGAGATATTCCATTTTAATCTTAGAATACTATTTAAGTTATACTTAATCAGGCTTCATCTTCTGATTGGATTCTTAATCAATAACTTTCATTTCAAATACATACTGCTTGCTGCATGGTATCACAGTTTGTTTTATTTAGAGAAGCTGCAGGAGGTAATCTTTTTTCAGGTTAATTATTTTTCTCTCAAAAGCAAAGGGAAATCTGATAATGTTATTATGACTTATATCACCCCTTATTAAATGCATTTTAAATAAGGTCTAGGGTCTGGGTTTGTTTCTGAGGAAAGTTCAGTGTTAGACTGTGTGTAAATATTACTTTGATTTCATATATGTGCCTGCAGGAGAGCAGGCTGTTAGAAATTCCCTATGGTTCTAATCTGTGTTAATTGAAATTGTAGCTGGGAGCACTACAGACTTCTGTGAGCAGCGCACCCGCAGTAACAGCAGTGAGGGCCCAGAATTTACTACTTCTAAAGCTACAAGTGACTTAGCAGTCAGGCGAGCCCGACATAGGTTACTTTCTGGTGAATCAGCAGAAAAGCGGACATCACGACCTGTCAACAAAGTTATTAAGTCAGCATCAGCTACTGCCCTCTCACTTTTAATTCCCTCAGGTAATGTGCAATAAAAATTATAATTTTTAGAATTGAAGTGATTTTCTAGAAGCAACAAACTTGTGACCATAAACACCTAATGCCTTTATATCTTTCTGTTTATGCCTACACACATACACTGTACTAAAAGTCAAGATATTATAAACATTTGTGATTTATATGGCAGTTTTATAGTGGCTGGATAGCTCAGTACATTAGGTATGTGGCTACAGAATCAGAGGCTAGGACTGATTACCCACTGTGCTTCCCAAGAGAAAAGCCAGCCTGTGTAGTCTTGGGCAAGCTGCATATTTTGAAATAAAGTAGTTTTATTTTTATTTTATTTTTTTTAAAAAAAGTTACTTTGTGGAGTCAGAATAAAGTGTCTCCTAACTAAGCATTGGATATCATAATTGGTTTCTGTTTGGAGTTTTGCTCTGTCTAAATTGTGTAGCAGACATAGTAGACCTTAGCACTCTGATCTGTAATTGGCATTCATTTCTTTGTAGATACTCATTTTCTGTTGAAATATAATGAATAGATTATAGTTAAGTTTTACTGTAATTTTATAAAGAAACAATACTTATTTGTATAGTGAAAAATGCTGTGGCTTAAAAGACGATTTACCAGAATATTTTTGAGCATATGCTTACATGTGAATTATAAAATAATATTTATAAAGAAGTAACAGCCAGAATAGCTGTGGCATGGAAAGTGCAGTACTAAGTTTACATTTTCTGATGTTTAATGTTAGGACACTTTTTTCAAAGGTCAAGAATATGAGATTTCTCAATGTAGGCAAAATATCTTATTCCCTTTTCTTAGTGTACTGTGAATTAAAATTTTCTTTGAAGGCCTGACTTCTAATTTCTAATCTTTTTGTATTTTCATTTAGAGCATCATACATGTTCTCCATTAGCTAGTCCTATGTCACCTCATTCTCTCTCCTCCAACCCATCTTCAAGAGATTCATCTCCAAGTCGAGAATTTTATCCAGCTGTTACAAACCTTAAACCACCAATCATCATTCACAGAGCTGGGAAGAAATATGGCTTCACTCTTCGTGCCATTAGAGTTTACATGGGGAACAGTGATATCTATACAGTGCATCACATGGTCTGGGTATGTTTATACTTAGTCCCTGTATGAGTGACTTTAGCCTAATCTGGGATTACAGGAACCTTTATTAATCAGAGCCTGATAAAATCCCTGTTTTGTTTTTTTAAAAAAAATCTTAGAATCATCTTAGAAATAGTGAGTCTTTTCTAAAGAAATAAATCTGTGCATGTGTAAGGGGGTGCTCTCTATCAGAGATGTAACCCATAGGTTAATTACATTTAATTCCTTCAGAGCTGTGTTGACAATGATGGTCTGCTTCAGATCATTTCCTTTCCCTTAGGATTTCTCACATCTGCTTGAAGTTGATTACATGTCTTAAAGCATCACTGTTTTCCCACTGAATTGACTAGAGATTTGGGATTCAGTTCAGCTGTGAGTTATACAAGGGGCTTAATATACGTGTGCTCTTTCTCCTTCATCCATATTCTTTGTCAGCCTTTCTTTCACATGTACTTTCTTTGAGAAGGATGTGTGGTTGTCTGCTATAGCCATTTCCCATAAATAATAATTGTCATTTTTAACTGCGTTGTATTATTTGGTAAAAGAGAAAAGGGATGTTAAAGTTTGTCCTCATTTCCCTACAGATATCACTTAAGGTTTCTTCATTTAAATAGAGATTGTTTTGAAGCTAATTAGCAGTAATATAATAATAAAATGCAGTAGAATAATAGCTTTAGTAAATCTGTTTCTGATCCTTATTCCACTTGACCTTAACAAAGACTGCATTATGTAGAAAAACTGAGGTGTGATAAAAACACAGGTTGTAAACTACAAATTAAACCCTGTCACCTCTTGGGTTATTTATTTTCATTGTGTTTATCCATTGACTCATAAATGTTTATGTTAGACATTTAAAAATAATCATGGTAGAAATAATTAATGATGTTCATTTTAGAGCTACACCATATTCTTTACGTACATATAAAACGTTCCAGATGCAATTTCCAGCATCTCCAGGTAAAAGGCCCTAGATGTAAGAACTAAAGAAGACCTCTTCCTGAGATACCAGAGAACTGGTGTTGCATGAGTGAGTGGCATGACTTGAGAACGAGGAACCATCTTTGTAAATGGCAGGACAAAAAAACAACTAAGTGATGTGCATTGCTGCAATTTTTGGCATTTACTTTCTAGAATGTCTGCTAGTGAGAGTGGTTAATTGAGGAGGGTAACTAATATGGCCAGATAACTTCTTTTTTGAAGCTGACAAATTTTTTTGTTTTTCCTTGGCAGCATGTGGAAGAAGGTGGGCCTGCAAGTGAAGCTGGTCTGCGGGAAGGGGACTTGATCACCCATGTGAATGGAGAGCCTGTACATGGATTGGTTCATACTGAAGTGGTAGAGTTGGTCCTGAAGGTACAGACAATGCACATGTGCTATAGGACAAGTGGGCAAAGTATGACTAGAAAGTACATATAAAGCTGCATGACACACCCAGTACATCTTGGAAGTATCTTGACTTGTTTTCTTCATTTAACTTGTAGGTTGCACTTAGTTGGTGCATTTGCTGCAGTACCATTTGTAAAAAGATAAGCTGCATAGATTCCTATAGAACATAGATAACTATGTTCATGTGCATGGAACTGCCTTTGCAAAAAATTTGAAAACTGTAGTTTAAAATACAGAGACTGGGAGAGTTGACCATATTATGCAAGTCCTTTGTCCACTTTTCCAGTCTGTTTCTGGGCTAAATTCAATGTGCTGTTTTTGATCTTCATAGCTTAAGATCAGGGCAACCGAAGGACAGGTTGTATCCTCGTGCCTGTTCTGTTCTAAAATGGTTTCCCATGGTAGCTCTGGTTTCCCCAGGTAGGCTTGCTTTTTAAGAATATATGAGGCTATACAGTGCCTCATATACAGTATTACATTCCATCTGTACTGCAAATATATGGCAGCCAATCCTTTAATAACAGAATTGTTTAAAAGTTTATCCTATGTAATCTTAAGGAAAATATTTCACTGATTGTTCTTCTGACTTTAAGCTGTAAGTAATATTAACTCTCAGACAATGTTTTCCTATATAGATTGCTAGCATTACTTTCAAAAAAGCTTGCCTATTTAATCTTAGGTTCTTCCCATATGATACATCAATAGCACAGCAAATCTGCACATTTTTAAGCGGGCATGCTAGGTGTGTCCTTTCAAGTGAGTATCTTTGATTCAAAGATACTACATATTTTTAGTAATACTTTATAATTCTTAGGTGCCTGCAGGTGCATTCTAACCTATGGCAACCCTTTTCAGTGTTTTCTAGGTATAGAGTGTTTTTTGTTGTGTCATCAAATTGCCTTTGACTTATGGCAACCCTGTGAATGAATGATCTCCAGACTGTCCTGTCCTTGGAAGCCTTGCTCAGCTCTTGTAAATGCAAGCTTGTGATTCCCTTATGGCATGGGTTCTTAACCTGTATTCTGCAGGCACCTGGGGGCCTGTGATGTCCTCACAGGGGGCCTGGGAAGGCTTGAAGAAATGTTATGATTCTGGGGGGCACTGCAAGGAAGAGGTGGTGCAGAGAGTATCAGGCCGCCTGCCCAGCCCCTCACATGGCTCCGCTGCCCAACCTCCGAGCCCACCGTCACCTCTCCCTGATCTGCAAAAAAGATGGTTTTCTCCTGAAGTCCCGGCCGTGGCCCAAGTGATACAAAAGAGAAAGCAGGAGAAAGGAATTAGGAGGACCGATGTAAAGCAAGACAATCAGTATTTTCCGTTGGGTATAAGGAGGAAAGGAAAATATGCAAAAAGAGAGAGGACACTAATACCCCTCTCGCTTTCTAGTAGTCTGCAGCAACAAAAGATATTTAAAGGGGGTCCCTGGTAAAGGGAAAAAAACCCACTGCTTTAAGGAATCTATCCATCTCATATTTGGTCTTCTTTCTCTGCTGCCTTCAACCATTTCCAGCATTGTCTTTTCCAGAGACTTGTCTTCTCATGTATGAAAGCCTCAGTTTCATTTTTGCTTCCACAGAAAGTACAGGCTTGACTTGTATTAGGATCCCTTGTCTGTCTTTGTGGCAGTCCAAGATAGCCACAAAGCTCTTCTCCAGCCTTGCATTTCAAACAAATCCATTCTTTGTATTCGTGAAGGATTTCGCAGGCGGAATCTAATGGTTGTTTTGAGTTTTTCGGGCTCTTTGGCTGTGTTCTGAAGGTTGTTCTTCCTAACGTTTCACCAGTCTCTGTGGCCGGCATCTTCAGAGGACAGCACTCTGTGCTCTGGTGTAGTTTGCTTGGGAGTGGAGTATATATTGCTGCAAGATAGGCTTTTGTCCTTTTCAGGAGATGGGTGATTAGTGTTGTCTTGTTGTGGGTGTATTGTTATGATAAGGAGGAGAGATTATCTGTCACTGTGATTGATGGGTGTCATTAGCTGGTCTTTTGTGTGTAGTGATCCCCGGTCCTTATGGCTGGGTACAGTTCATTGACCTTTTGCACACTGTATTTTTCAGAGCTGGGAGCCAAGTTTTGTTGAGTTTCAAACTTTCCTCTTTTTGTTGAAGTTGTGCTGGTGCTTGTGGATTTCAATGGCTTCCCTGTGCAGTCTGACATAATAATTGCTGGTGTTGTCCAGTATTTCAGTATTTTGAAATAGAATTTCATGTCCAGCTTGTTTTAGGGCATGTTCAGCTACTGCAGATTTTTCTGGTTGTTTTCGTCTGCAGTGTCTCTCATGTGCTTTGCTTCTGTTGGGAATGCTGTGTTTTGTGGTTCCAATGTATATCTGGCCACAACGGCAAGGTATCCAATATGCTCCTGCAGTGGTGAGGGGGTCCCTTCTGTCCTTTGCTGACTGGAACATTAGTTGTATTTCTGTGGTGGGCTTGAATACTGTTTGTAGGTTGTGTTTTTTCAAAAGTTTCCCCATGCGGTCCATGACCCCTTTGATGTATGGTAGAAATTCTTTATTTGTGGGTGGCTGTTTCTCTTTAGTTTGGTGTTGTTTTCTTGGTTTGATGGCTCTTGTGATTTCATTTTTGGAATAGCCATTTGACTGTAGGGCCCAATTCAGATTGTTGAGTTCAGTGCTGAGAAACTGAGCTTCACAGTTCCGATTTGCACGGTTTACCAGTGTTTTGATTATGCCTCTTTTTGCTATGGCTGGTGGTTGGAATTTTTGTGTAGGTACCAGTTTGTGTGGATGGGTTTTCTGTAGACCTTGTGTCCCAGTCGGAGGTCAGTTTTCCGTAGAACCATGACATATAAGAACGGGCGTTAGCCCTCTATTTCTTTTTCCATGGTGATTGAACTAGAAAACTCGTTGTTTAATCAGTGAGAAGAGAAGAGTCTGATTCAGGAAGTCTCTGTAGCAGCATTTTCTAAAGAAAAAATAAATACTGGATGAGAAGAAAAAGAATTAATCGGGGGAATTTAAGACAGGCATTCCCCTTTGCTTCAACATCCACTACTCAGAAGGGATCAATGGATGAATAAAAAGATGTTCAAATATATTTTCCCTTGTTTCAGAGCGGGAATAAAGTATCCATATCTACTACACCTTTTGAGAACACATCAATCAAAGTGGGGCCAGCTCGCAAAGCTAGCTACAAATCAAAAATGGCCAGGAGGAACAAGAAAAGCAAAGCAAAAGATGGACAGGAAAGGTTAGTGATTGTTTCCAAGGAAAATGGTATGTCCCAATAGTAAATAATTGACAGAAGTAATGTGTGCCAGTGTATGTTTCTTTGGTGGGTCAGTGTGTGTGTGTGTGTGTGTGTGTGTGTGTGTGTGTGCGCGTGCGTGTGTGTGCGTGTGTGTGCGTGTGCGCGCGCGCGCGCATGCATAATGAGAGACTTACTTTTAAGTATGTCTTAGATAGTAAGCAGTTATTTGCCATGGAAGACAATGCTCTTAGGTCTTGCATTCCCTGAAAGTCAGCTGAGCAAGATTTGGATTTAATTCAGGAAGAGGGGAATGGTGGGTCGGGGGCGGGATGTTTCTACACTTTTTTTCATAAAAAGATCTGTTACATCCAAGGCTCATCCATAAATAGAAAGAGCCCATCTGTAAAAAAGCAGAACTTTTTACATTGACAAAAGAAAATCTTTTTGATCTGCATCTGCTTGCTTTTACAAATGATGGCAGGTCTTCACTTTCATTTTTCCAGCAAAAAGAAGAGCTCTCTGTTCAGGAAGATTACGAAGCAAGCATCTCTCCTTCACACCAGCAGGAGCTTGTCTTCCCTCAACCGTTCTCTGTCTTCTGGGGAAAGTGTTCCGGGTTCACCAACTCACAATCTATCTCCTCGTTCACCAACACAGAGTTACCGATCTACACCTGAATCTGCACATTCAGGTACAAGGATAGACGGAATCTTTAAGTAGGTCTCTCTGATTTAGTAGTAATGGGCTTTCTCAAGCTAGAGAATACTGCAGATAGGACATAAAATATCAGGATTTCTATAGTGAATCAAGAATGCACTAGAAAATATGAAAGAGTTTGATTTCTGCAAGTCACATTATTTCAGTGGCTTAGAAACAAATGAAAGACACATTAATGGTTGTTGTGGGTTTTTCGGGCTCTTTGGCCTTGTTCTAAAGGTTGTTCTTCCTAACGTTTTGCCAGTCTCTGTGGCCGGCATCTTCAGAGGACAGCACTCTGTGCTCTGGTGTAGTTTGCCAAGCAAACTACACCAGAGCACAGAGAGCTGTCCTCTGAAGATGCCGGCCACAGAGACTGGCAAAACGTTAGGAAGAACCTTCAGAAACACGGCCAAAGAGCCCGAAAAACCCACAACAACCATTAGATCCCGGCTGTGAAAGCCTTCACGAATACAAAAAGACACATTAATTTAATAAAAGAAACAGTAGTCCACATTGCATAAGGAAGATGTAGTAGCTGTATAGATGAAGAGGCTTGTCCAGGAGATCAAGCTATATGATGAGAGCTGAGAACCTTATCTACTGAGTGTAGGGAATTACACAGAATTTATGAACTTTAGAGAGCGAAAACAAAAGGTAAAAGATTGGTCTCCCTACCAGCATATGTTTTAGTTCCAAGAAGAGGAAGAGATTCTGGTGTGTGCTGGGAATTGCAGTGCTTGCTGGGATCCACTGCAGTGCTCCATGAGAAGGTTAGTCTTTCTACTCTTTAGGATATATAGAGGGAGCCTCTCAACTACTCATCCCATGTAGCACTGTGGGGACTACCAGCAGGCACTAAGGTGTCTCCTCTTTCTTCAGAACAAACACATGGAATGAAGCACATACGCTGGTGAGGATACCTCTCTTTTGCCTTCTGTTTTTGTTCTCCCAATCCCAGAATTCTACCTGGGGGATTCTGGGCCACTTCTGGGAGTATTTTTTGGATTTCTATGCCCAGATTCTACCCCCAGCCCCCAAATCCTAAGAGTGGAAATCCTAGAAATGCAGAAGTCTTGACCCTAAGAATAAATATAATAGCACGCTGAAGCATTCCTAGATGAGTTGTGCAAGCAAGTTGGTCTGGGAAATAAAGCTGGAACAAAGATGGTGCCAAGCAGACATGCCGAATAAGTTATAAATAAGTAAATTAAATTACAATACAATCTGATGGGGCCAAATCAATACTACCTGATATTTTATGCCATAGTAAAACACATTTGCCCTGTTAATTCAATTCCATATTGCCGTATTTCAAAACCCACATCATTATAAATATGGTATACATATTCCTAATGCTCCTTGAATTCGTTGACACATTCTATTTTTTGTTTTCCCTTTTTGATTTTTACAGTTGGTGGAAACTCTTCTCAGAGCAGTTCACCTAGTTCCAGTGTTCCCAACTCTCCTGCCAGTTCAGGACACATCCGGCCCAGCTCTTTACATGGATTAGCACCAAAGCTTCAGCGACAGTATCGCTCCCCAAGACGTAAATCTGCAGGAAACATTCCTCTCTCACCACTAGCTCATACTCCCTCACCAACCCCACAGTCTACATCACCACAGCGCTCCCCTTCCCCTTTGTCAGGGCATTCAGTTGGGAGTTCAAGCATCATGCAGTCTTTTCCTGTGAAATTACACTCCTCCCCACCTCTTGTCCGACAGATTTCAAGGCCCAAAAGTGCTGAGCCACCACGATCGCCTCTGCTAAAGAGGGTCCAATCAGCTGAAAAACTGACTTCCTCTCTGTCCTCCTCAGAAAAAAAGTTACCTTCTTCTCGGAAGCACAGTTTGGACATATCTCATTCTGAATTCAAGAAGGAGATGCTCCAGAGAGATCCAGGTCTCCAAAGCTGGCAGGAATCTATGAATGAAACAACTGGAGGTAAAGTTGGGCTTGCAGAAAAAGGGTCATTGCAGAAACCTTCTTCTAGAAAACTTGGAGCCATTCGGCAGGACAGAGTGGAAAGAAGAGAATCTTTGCAGAAGCAAGAAGCCATTACAGAAGTTGATTCTTCTGAAGATGAAACTGATGAAGGCTCAGAAGACAGTCAAGATGGGAGAAGAGTAGACCGACCACCCTTGTGTAGAGATAGGCAGATTTCTCATCCTTTCAGTGAGGTTTTGAAACATTCTTCCAATTTGGAAAGCAAAGACAGTATGGAGGATGATGCTTTTCTTCCTGAAGAACCCAAAACTGGCAATTTGCAGAAAGGGGCAAACCAACAACAGGATGCTGCAAGGACACCACCAACAAGCACAGATGAGTTACAATCCGAGATTTGTATAAGGAATTCATCTGTAGAAAAAGCTAGTAATTATGAAGCAGTTAAGGTAATATCAGAGTCTCAATTGGCATTAGAGTCAATACAAGGCAATAAACATAATTGTCAGAAGGCTGCTGATAGTAAAGATGCTAATGACCCTAAAGATGCTCTGGTTATCCAGGAAAACACAGACTGTCCAGAGCAGCTGAAGTGCCTATCAGTGAGATTCCTACAGCTTGGTCAAGGTGATTGCTCAGAACTGGCAAATAACAAAGATAAAGTGAAGAAATCAGCTTCTCAAGAAGCTGCCTGCATATCATTTCATGATACTATGGCTTTGTTAGCACTTTCTTCTACTTGCACAGCTAGTACGAGCTCTCTTCCACTAGTAAGCCAAATAGACTTCAACAAAGCCCCTCCAAAACAGGAATCCCAGTCTGCCAAGGAGAGCACCAGTATTCAGAAGCTGGCAGACAGTGGAGAAATGCCTGCAAAAAGACCTTCTGGTGTTAAAGAACCACAGGAGTTGGCCTCTCCAGTAGTAGTTTCAAAGCATAAAAATCAGTCACGTGATAGAAATCCAAGTTGTCCAACAGATCACACTACAGGTACTCCAGTTTTTACACTTGATGCTCCAGCTGATGGTGGAACAGCTGCCTGGCAGGCATTTTTAACAACAGATGCAAAAGGCATGTTGGATCCAGCAAATTCCAACATAACTGGCTCAAAAGAACTAGAAGTAACAAGAGAAGAGTGCCCTCAGAAGGAGTTGGTTTATATAAAAAAGAATGTTTCCAAGCAAGGAATACAGGAGACAGTGAAGGGGTGGAGTTCAGAAGGAGCCAAATCCTTCAGCATAGATGATCCCCCTAACATGTATGGTTCCTACTTTGAATCAGAAAGCCCAGCAAAGTCTTGGGAGTCAGAATGTCCAGTGGAAAGAAGAGAGGAGCCAAGACCCGATAATTCTATTGTACCTGAAATTTTGGTGGATAGGAGGCTAATACCTCCCTCTGAAGATCAGCCCACTGGCACTGCAAAGCAGACCATTAGGATTTCTTCTGGACTAGATAGTAGCCTGAGTTATAAAAAAGAGATTATTTTAAGGCCAGAAGAAATCAGAGAGGCTGGAGGTCAGACACAAACAAAAGACTTCCTGTTGTCTGAAGGTGATGTTGTGAAGAAAACATAGCAGGATCTCTGCATTCTAAAACAAAGACAGCATTAGAACAACATAGTGTAAAACAGAAATCTTGTACATCTATTTTTTGTAGATTTGTGTTTTCACACTCTTGCCTTTTTTCATTCTTGCAGTTCTATTTTTGTACACCATCAGTCATTGGACGCCTCTTAACAGGGTATCTTTAGAGCAAAATTACAAAATTATTTGCAAATCTTGCATCCCTTCAAAAAGTTGCCTAATTTTTGCATTGTCCTTCTTCCATTCATTTTCCTCAATTTTTCAAAATTCCAGAGAACTATATTTGCAAAATAAGGCAACTTACTTGAAAAGAAAACATTTTGACCATCTCTTTCAACTTTTAGTCTCTTAAAAGAAAGTTACTTAAATTTTGAATTTTCTTTCAGTCATTCAATTTTCAAAATTGAAGATACATATGCAAAAATGAAGCAGATCACTGGAAAAGAAAATATTTTGACCACCAGTTCCAAATTTTATTCCTTGTATCCAGAATTTTGGATCATATTTTATATTGGCAAAGAAAACAACAACAAAAAACCCAAACCTTTTGATGGCAGGCTCCTAAAATTCTTGTTATGGCATATCATAAGCTTCCATATATTTTTTGAAAGAACTTTTTAATGTCAGCTTAAGCAAAGCAGCAGTACCCTTTTAAAGATCTATTTAAATGAAATATCCAGACAAACCTTCAGTTTGTATTTTGATTTATTTTTACTCTGCTTTTAAAGAAGCATGACAGTCTAGCATCAGCCTTTTAAAATATATAATGCTTGTGGTCTTACCAACCATAACTTGCTCAGAGCAGATGATCACCTCAAAAAAGGGTAAGTTCATTTAGTCGGTTCTCATTAAAATAGACTGCAGCATTGAGAAGTTATTGGGGAGCTAGTTAGCTTCTTGTAGAAAGAGCTAACATCTACCAAAGTGTTCTGTACTGACTTAGTAGAAAGTGATCTTCAGTAATTTGTAAGGAAGAGGTTGGGATAAGCCACTGTACATTATATAATCCTTATTACCCTGCATTTGTTCAACAAATTGGCTCCTAGATCCTACGTACAGACAAAACATTGATTATTATTCAAATCCCTTTCCATTCCTTACTCTTATAACCTCTTTTTCAAATTGCTTGTATGTGTGTGTGCTTTTTAAAGTAACTTTCTGAAAACTCTATGTGGTGCTTTGTCAAAAAGGATGGCTAAATGTGTAATACTTCACTGATACATAAGATATACAAATACAGTTATACACAATAAGACAGTATCTGCAGCCTTTCAGATGTATTACTCATTGAATCTAATTATATTTTATAGACAGAGGTGGCTATTTGCATAAATCCCATAATTCTTGTGATTTTAACTTACAGCCTTGCCTAGCAGAATACATCTGTATGTGTGGGCAGAGAAGGTAATTATTTGCATAGTCTGTTGTTCTACATAGACAGAGGTGATCACATGGTGACTGTAATAGCTTTTCGGAGCAAGCACTGGAGCTAATTACAATACAGCTTCATTACTCCGCCATGCTTTAAGTCTTTTCCTGCACCATTTCTCCTTGGAGTACATATACATAGTTCTTCACTAGGACTGTGATCTTAAAACCCTAATTTATTATCATCACATTTCAAGAGTTTTTGTTTCTTGAGAGAAATCCTTGATTCTTCCCCTCCACCTAATTCTAGATTCTTTGGTTTCAGTTTTGGACCAATTTATCTTTGACCTGGAGTTCTTTTTACATTAACCACTATTTGTTTACATTTGTGTGATAGGAATGTGTGTGTGTGTGTGTTGATACTGTAAAAGAATATCCATTAGCTTTCTCTTATATAAAACTAAAACTTCAATCCTCAATATTTCACCAATATTTGTTCCCAGATCCCACAGTGACTTTTATTAGGCAAAATACACTAATCTCTATTAATCATGCCACGAGCACGCAAGAGCTAGCTGTATGCTTTTGCATTCAGCCACAAATCTTACCTGCCTGTCACTTGCTGTGTTGTTCTCTGGGCAAAGAGAATTGGAGGCATCAGTACACAGATGCATTTAGGAAAAGGGAATTGCTGCTCATATGAGTTGATGGCATAGCTACTCAGAAACGCACATTAACTTGAATAATATGAGAACATTAATTGTAGTGGTACTGTATGACTTTGTGCCCTGGAGATAAATAATGTAGCTTCAAGCATACTTTGTAGCACCTGTATACACAATAGAGCCAAAGGATTTATATCTCTAGCATAACCAAATAAATGATACTGGGCACCACATTTCTGTATTATAAATGCCATGCAGATGCTTTTTGATATAATGTCATTAACAGGAAACTCCTGTAATTGTTAAAGCTACCAGAAGCCTTCATTTTTCACTGTTGTTTCATAGATTCATTTAATTGTGGACCTACTTTGGTGAGATTACTGGCTAAAGAAAGTTTCATCAAAACGCATGTTAACAAAACATACTTGCTAACAGTCATGACATTACTGAGGGCAGAATTTAAGATCTTAAAAGCACTTAACAATCATCGAGCCTTGCTAGAAGTGGTGTACAATAGCTGAATTAAATTTCAGTTACCTTGGTGAGGGAAAACAAGTGTTGGTATGACAGTCCACAGTCCACTTAAGCAAGTTGATGCTGATTCAGCTACCTGAAACTCTCAGTTGTGTTCTATGAATGCAGAACTCCATTTTGTTATAAGATACCTACAACCATCTTACACCATATATTTTTGTTTCTCTTAGTTTGGATATTTGGAATTCATTAATTTTCCACAGTCTTTAAACATTTAGTATCCAGCTAATGCATTCCTCAACAACGCAGTGCATCTAAGACTATCAGATTGATATTTAGTGTAAATATTAGGTGTTAGCACTGGTAAAAGCCACTCCTGGGGGAAAGATGACCAAGATCTTGTTGTGTCCATTATGCTATGAAGGAATATTTGCCATAGAGCAGGGTAAAGGGAATCACCTGCTGTCCCCCAACCCCATTAGCACTGAATTAAGGTGTGATTTGAAATTTTTGTTTGTTGATTTCCTGTGGGGAGGGTGATGTCTTCCTCCAGTTTTACTTTACTGGATGTGAAGGTTGGTGCCGTACTTCTAGTAGATGATTTTACAGCTGTGTGCGTTTACATTGTATTTTAATTTTTGTTATTTTGAAAACTGTGAACACAGCTTTCGTGCTGAGTTCCAATATCACGCTGGTGCCAGTTGGCATCTGCCTAACAGAGGATGCTGTGGGATAAAGTGTTTTTAGAAACTTGAACAATTGCCACATTAGAGAGGTGCAATAATTTTTATTCATGTTGTACCTGCATGTCGATGTTCAGATATTGCTCGGAAATATACTTCATTTTTACATAAATCTGTGTCCCTCTCTTGATTGAATTAATATTCTTCAGATGTTTTCCTATGAAATGTTGCAATATTTCTGTGTTTTTATGTGACTATGCTGTCCTGTGGCAATCCAGATAGCCCATAATAACATGGCTGCACACAGATAACCATTTGCCACTGATAACCTACTCCAGTGGAGAGATCAGCTAGCTTTTGATCTCTTAAGGCAGGTCGCAAATTTTCTGTATATTTTGGTAACTTCACACTTGGTGAGTGGTCCCTGTATATACTTTGTATCTTCCATGTAAATCATTTGTTTCATCATAAAGCAGTTCAGTATGTGTGCATGCAAGCACAAATACATGTTTGCGCATCTTACGATAAACAGTATCAACATGGGAAGCTTGTCATGGGAGATTGATGCCAGTTCAATGAAACACCAGTCCATTGCTGACCCAATCCCAGAATAAAGACACGAGGCAAAGATATGGATTAAAATTGGGCCACTTTATTGATAATACAAAATACAATACTGGCAATCCTCTGCTAAAAAGAGCGGGCCTGCTATAGCGCTGAAACAGGTTAAAGGCAGGGGTATGCTGACACCCCTTGGTCATAAGGAAAGGAAAATCAGGATCAAAGGGCTCTCTTTGACCGCCACTTTTCCTTGCCGTTTGCGAAGTCATGGGGATTAGCAAAAAGGAAGGGAAGGCTCCCTTCAGGTAAAGCAGCCATGAAAGGGCTGCACGATCGCAGCCTTTTGATCCTGAAGCGCTTTCATGGCTGCTTTATCCACTTTCCTGCAGGAAACAGGCAGGAAGGTACAATGAAACCTTTTACTTGTAGCACTTAGAGTGAGAACACGGTTCCTTGTCCTCCTCTTTGGTGAACTCCATTTTTGCCTCTTGACATAACAGGGCCTTTGTTCAGTTTAGTAAGTTCAGCAGGACTGATCTAAACTGCTCTCTGGGAGACAGAGAAAGCAAAAATTTACAAGAAACTTGTGACTGGGTTCGTTGAAGACCTGGAGCAGTTCCTCTCTTTTGGCGGGAAATGACAACTGAGTCTCTTCTTGAACATTAAACTTTTTATTTGTCTCAACATTGGGTGAATCAATAACAACCTCTATAGGCTAAAACAAATCAATATCAGATAATTGTCCATACTTTAGAAACAACAATTCTTGTTTAGAACCAACATGATTTACTGCGGGGCATGCCCAAAGCATTCCCGGTCCGTGGGTTTCCTCCCACCTTTAAATTAGGGAAATCCTCCAACAACCCACGCATTCTATCATAGTCCACATCTTTCTCTTTTCCTTTACCTCTTCCCACATCCTTATTCCATTCCTCCACTGGAACTCTGCACTCCCTCCTCTTTTCCTCCTCTCCTGTTTCTTCCTCCCAGACTGGTAAGGCCAACTCCTCCCCTCTCTCCCTCTCTTCTATCAGACAGATCTCACTTTTATCTTTATTTTCCTTCGATCCTCTCTCCTTCTCTTCCACATTTAACTCTTCACTTTCTATTATCCCTACTGACTCTGTTTCTCCTTTTGTCTCAGTCATCCTGGATTGAGGGTACGGCTCATTCTGTTCTCTTTTTTCTACAACTCTTTTACAAAACTTCAAGAGTTCAGTGTGTGTCTTTATAGTACAGTGGTGCCTTGCTTGACGAGGATAATCCGTTCCAACAAAATCACTGTAGAACGAAATCGTTGTCAAGTGAAAGTAAAAATCCCATTGAAATGCATTGAAAACCGGTTCAGTGCGTTCCAATGGGCGAAATACCTCAGCGCCCAGCAAAGATCCTCCATAAGGCGGCCATTTTCCAGTGCCTGTATAGCGTGTGTTCCTAAAACACAGCGGGGAGCCATTTTGCACAGCGGGTGGCCATTTTGAAGACCCACCGATCAGCTGTTTTGATCGTCGTTAAGCGAAAAATCAGTTCCCGAAGCAGGGAACCGATCATCATTAAACGGTTTTTTCCTATCTAAACATCGTTTTGCGATCGCTATAGCAATCGCAAAATACTCATCGTTAAGCGATTTCCTCGTCTAACGCAGCGGTCAGAGAACTTTTTTACCTTTTACTCCCCCCCCAAAAAAAATTATATATGTCAACATTACCCCCTTGATTTGAAAGGAAGGAAATCATACATTACTTAAATTCAAAATATTATTGAATCTACACAGGCTGTGTACTGAACTAGTGGGATATATCATCAGTATCAATGGCTGCCAGGCTATGTACTGAACTAGCAGGATGCACCAAATTTAATAAAGATATGCACTGTTTTTACTAGCACGATAAAGATAACAGCAACCTGTGGAAATAATTGTATATGAGGAGGAATTTAATTTTATCAGAGTAGGCATTCCATGCTTACCTACACAATTCAGAGACACCATTTGGATACACCATTATAGCCGCATTTAATTACTGCTATTTTTCACAGAAACAATAGCATGAAGCTAGAGAACACCAATTGCCACCCAACTTCTAATTATTCTGTGTTGGTAATCCCGGTATGTAGACTGCAGCAGGGCCAATATTTTTACTGTAAAGTCAGGAGAAAATTCAGGCATGTTTTTAGAGATGATGAGAATAACTTCAGATAAAATGAATCAGGGCATTCTTCATAGTAACTTTAATAAAACCCCACCTCAACCCCTGTAGGGCACCTGCAAGCCAATCCTGCACATCCTGGGTGCTAGGCCAGGATTATCTAGGAAATCAAGCACTTGAATAGCATGGTCGCTACAATTATGTTGACCCAGCCCTCCAGGTACTCTGACTTTTTGTTTTAAAAGGAAGCAAGAGAAGCCAACCCACACTCAACAAACAGCAGAGCTTCCCACAAAACTGACGCTTACATTTAAAGCCCTCTTCTTGGTAGCTATCAAGTCAGCCAGACGAGCTAGTGAGCTGGCGGCGTTGTGTCATGATAGCTCTTACCTGCAGTTCTTCAGGGATAAGGTGGTCCTCTACCCGGATATGTCCTTTCTTCCTAAAGTGGTCTCAAGCTTCCACCTAAATCAACCAATTTCTCTACCAACCCTGTTTCCTGCTCCGTCTTCTGAGTTGGAACACACACTTCACTCATTAGATGTTAGGAGGGCACTGGCGTTCTACACTGCCAGGACTAAGAACTTTCGTGCTTCCCCTAGGCTCTTCCTCTGTTTCTACGGTCCACGGAAAGGCTCTGCAGCAGCTTCATCTACACTTTCTCGATGGATTGTGTCCACCATTGAGCTGGCATACCAGCTTCAAGGCAGAGTTCCCCCTCAGGGCCTCAGAGCACACTCCACCAGAGCCGTAGCAACGTCTACGGCCCTTATGCGTGGGGTAGACGTCCCAGAGATCTGTAAAGCAGCAACGTGGTCCACGGCGTCCACGTTCATCATGCATTACAAGCTGGATCTCCGGGCCAAGAATGATGCTGCATTGGGGATAGCTGTCCTAACTTCGGTGCTAGAGTGACGACATCCGGTAAGCGAGCTAGTCAGTCACCCAGTTGTGTGATTTCACAGAGTCCACGTTGAAGAAAGGCAGGTTACTTACCTGTAACGATAGTTCTTCAAGTGGTACTCTGTGAATTCACACATACCCGCCCTGCCTCCCCACTATCCGTCACTCTTCACTCCTGGTTTGCAGAGCGCATGGGTGGCAGATAAAATGGAACTGGCGCGGGGCGGGCTGAGCATGCGCAATAGGGGTAACGATTCACCAGTCTTTTGTCTCTTAAAGCTCTAAAGGTTCCGAGGATTCCTGCGCAGGCGCAGCACCCAGTTGTGTGAATTCACAGAGTACCACTTGAAGAACTATCGTTACAGGTAAGTAACCTGCCTTTCTTCAACGTGGACTCTGTGAAATCACACAACTGGGTGACTGACTAGCTCGCTTACCGGATGTCGTCACTCTAGCACCGAAGTTAGGACAGCTATCCCCAATGCAGCATCATTCTTGGCCCGGAGATCCAGCTTGTAATGCATGATGAACGTGGACGCCGTGGACCACGTTGCTGCTTTACAGATCTCTGGGACGTCTACCCCACGCATAAGGGCCGTAGACGTTGCTACGGCTCTGGTGGAGTGTGCTCTGAGGCCCTGAGGGGGAACTCTGCCTTGGGTTAACTCCTGAAGCCTTTTCCATCAGTGTATATAGCCACAAAGCAGTGGAGGTTTGAAACCAGAATTTTCCTTCTCCTATATAGGCTGCCTTCCAAGGCTGACGAGCCCCACCTACCCAGTCTGCTCTCTAATAGTACGGAAGTATGATCCAACCCTTAAAACTCTCTTACCCCCAGGTGTATGAAATGCTAATTGGATTTCCTATTTACCAGATTAGGGTCAAAAATAGAATCAGAGAATTTTTTGTGCCGTTAGGGAGAACAAAGGTCAGCCTAGAAAAAATACCTCACCAAAATGTCTACCCAAACATACCTGACCCCCTGCCTTAGCTTCTTCTTCAAGAAAAAGGGCTTTATGTAGATGTTAAATAGCATAGGGGACAAAGCAGAACCCTGAGGGACACCACAGTCCGATGACCAGGATGTTGAACAGGAGTACCCCAGCACCACTCTCTTGAATTCTCTTCTCCAAGAAGGACCAGAGCCACAGTAAAACAGTACCTCCAAGTTCCATCCCAGAGAGAGCCCAGAAGAATACTATGGTTGATGGTATCGAAAGCTGCTGAGAGGTCCAGCAGACCCAACAGGGACACATTCCCCCTGTCCAGTTCCCACTGTAGGTTGTCCACCAAGGTGACCAAAGCTGGCTCTGTCCTATAACCAGACCTAAAGTCAAATTGAAATGGATCTAGATAACCCATCTCACCCATAAGCCCCTGGAGCTGAGAGGCTACAACTGCTCCAACATCTTGCCCAAGAATGGGATATTAGAGACTGACTGGTAATTATCCAGTACCCCTATGCTATGTGGGGTCCACCAAGGAGAGTTTTTAAAATAATGGTCTTACTACTGCCTCCTTTAAACAAGCTGGGGCCCTACCCTGTTGCAAGGAGGCATTC